AAGMMMAGGAGGTGTTGGAGTCCAGCTCAGGCTGCCAAACCAGTTWCTCAGAATTTTACATTCTAAAGAGCCTGTAATTTCTTTGGAGAAGATACTTAATCCCTTGGCATAACATTTCCTCATGCAATGCCACCACTCTGAGTAAGAAAACTGCTGAGGGCAAGCAGGGAATAGCATTGCTCTAGCAGGCTAGTCAGGGCAATTTAGGTTAAATGGGTTTAGTTTGCAGCCATGTGCCAGACAAAGGATGCACGATGCAAACACATCACTCCAAACCATTCCCACTTTGGTGGTTGCCCTCACTTCCCACCCTGTTCTGCCCAGGCAGCTGTGGCAGGACAGAGGGAGCAGACAGAAGATCCTGCTTCCACTCAGCCTGCTCCTGCAGAGCTGCCAGCACAGCTGGGGTTTGGCTGTGCTCTCCTACACCTCCAAGGGTGAGGAAGGCTCAGTGTACTGAGGAAGGCTCAGTGTGCTGATGAACAGATCCCTTGCTCCAGCCTTCCTCAGTCAGGAGRAACGACAAACAAACATCCCATGGTGCTCACACCCGAGAGGCACAAGAGAAAACAGCTTCTCCTCATTAACTTGAGCAGCTTTGCAGCATAAKTTCAGTGCAGTTTCACAGCATTTACCCCTGCTTTTCCCCATGTGYAGGTACAGTGCTACAAGGACCACCACTGTTTCAATTCCACAGACAAGCGCATCCTCAACATGTTCATCTCCATCTGCAACGATCTCCGCAACCTCCTCCACCAGCTGGAAGTGTTGCACCCTGGTGACAATGTGGCACAAGGCCTCTTGAACAAGTGCAGAGTGCTCCTTAATGACAGCAATGACCTCACTAACGTCCGAGCCACGTAGGTGCCTCCTCAGCTCAGCTCCTGGGATGACTGTCGGTGCTGGGGACTGACACTGCACAYTCTGGCCTGGCTTCCCCACCAGTTCTGTCACAACACCTTCCTGCCTTTAGGGAGGTCACCCTTTTTACAAGGTGCTCCCCAGGCTACTGTTCCAGCTGCTGGGAAAACGTTGCCAGTGTCCACTCACAAAAAGGGGGCTGGTTTGCTTATCCATCCTTTTTGCTGGTGCATGGCAGGGCCAGTGAGTGCCCTGAGGTTCATGCAGTGCTCAGGCAGGTTATCTGCTCCTTCCTCCTGCTCCTCCTTTGCACACARCTCATTTCTTCAGAACAAGTGTCTGTTTGTCCTCTCCAAGACTTCCAGCTCTATCCCAGGGTGGTTTTTGGCAGGACTCAYTCCTCAACATGCAGCTCTATCCACACCTTTCTGGTTTTGGGAAATAGCTGGCTGTGCAATCCTGCTCTTCCRTGGGGGATCTGAGGGTGGCTCCCAGAGTTGCACTGCTGGGACTCCTCTGCCAATTGTTTCCCTCTGTCCCACAGCTACCCCCATGGTGTTGTGAATTACCTGAGCTTGGATGAAGCAAGGAATCGCTATGGAGGTGTGGTGAGCCTCATCCCTGTTGTTCTAGACACCATGACAGAGTGGATAACCTACACTAAGAGGCACCTGCTGTACACTGTGAGTCGTGGACGTGCCATGTCCAAGAAGGAGACACCCACTTCCCAAACAAAACCTCATGTGCACTGCGCAGCTCGGACCTCCATTAACAAACGTGCTCTACAATTGCAGGAAAAAGATTTCCAGAAATACCTGAGTGAAAATCAACGTCCGCCACAAAAAGCTCCCTGGAGGCCGCCAGGCAAACACCCCTATTAAAGGATCAAAACTCCTGCATCTTCTGCTCAGCACCTTTAATCACCTGGCTGATTAAAGACCATGAAACGAACACTAGAAATCCATTCTGAGTGCACTTTCTGAAGAGTTACCCTGCAGCCAGCCTGGGACAGACACATTTGCTCTCCCTTGCTGATATTTCACTCTCCTCAAAATCATATCCTGACAGAAGTAGCTGTAGCTACAGCTGGTCCCTGGGACCAGCACTGCAGTGGGAGCAGGGAACAGTCAGGAGTCATCAGGTTCTAATTTCTCAGACATGGATCTTGGACAAGCTACTTGAAATAGGATTTTACCTTTTCTCAGTCTCCTTTCTGAGGAACATCCCCTCCCTCGCCACAGCCAGCGGGGTGAAGAACCTGCCTGTTTGAAGGATGTGATGCAGAGCAGCAAAGACCTGGCATTATGGATTCAGACATGTCTTTGAGATTCAGACTTGTCTCTAAAATTCCCTSACCCCCACAGAAATTGTTTGGTTATTTGGACCACAGAATCCCTTTTTACAGGACACTGAGGTCTCTCACACCTGCCACTGGCTACAGAGGCCAGTGTGCTTCAGTTGTGCTCTGCTGCAGCCTCCTGCAGCTACTCACACCACAAAACATCTCACCTTACACCTGTTTGACTCCTGTGCTGTCAGAGCTGGAGATGTAAAGRAGAGCAGAGTTCATTTTGCCCTTCATTTGTGTGCACTGACAATAGCCAAACTTGGACAAAACACCCCTGTGTTCCTCAGACTTCCACAAAATAACAGCCATTTCCAGTCCATGGGATTTATGGTGGGACCATCATGTTCAGATGGCTCCCCTTCAAACTCCAGATTAAACTGTTTGTGCYTTCCCTGTTGGGAAAGGTGAGGTTGGCAATACATTAAGCCAGATGTCCCACCTAAGGGGTGGGCCCAGGATGGCCCTGGGGCTTAAAACATGGAGCAGGGGGCAGCAYGTGGCCAAACCCTACACCCTTTGTAAATAACACAGCCTTGTCCCTCTGTTGTCCCTCTTTTCCCCTCCCACAGGCAAATTACCTCCTGCTCTTTGCTTCCTGCTGGAAGACACTCCTGAATAAACAAATTCCCCTTGAATACCTGGCTCGGTTTGCTAATACTGTGAGAAAAGTTTTGCCTGAAAATATTTGGCTTTTTGCAACAAGCAGCTAAAATTAGAAGGGAGGACAAATACAGAGGAGGGGGCACAGGAAGGAATCACAGTTCAGATGAAATGGGAAGTATTTTCAGGAGCATTTTAATTCCTCACATAATCCCACATTGTTTTGCAGTTTTTTCCTTTCCCCTATCCAATTGTACTGCAATGCACCCACCCAGGCTGGAGGAGAACCCTATTTTTAGGGAGATTTGATCCAACTGAACTGAACCTTGGTGAACTCAAAATGGTAACAGAGGGTCACAAAGCAACTCACAGGCACTACTGGGGCCACAGCCAGTGGAATGTCACCGTCACCCTCTCTGGCTTCACTTGAGATCTCTGCTGCAGAGGCAGCTTCAAGCTGAAAAATCCACGTTGAGGCAGCTGTCCTGCTGTGTTCCATGCTGCAGACAAGTGTCCAGTGACAGTTGCTGTCTTGGAAAGCTTTTCAGGACAAGCTGTGAGGACTGAATGATGACGAGTGTTGGGGACACAAGAGATGCTATTCCCAGATCTTGTTTCCATTCTTCTTGGCCCTGTCCTATGCTTTAAATTTGAACACACAGGTTCTGAGGAGACAAAAATAATCCTTCAGTTTGTAGTTCACTTGCAGCTTCCAGGGATGAGCACAGTCCTACTGAATTCATCCACCTCCACTGCTCAAAACCCCAGTGCAGTTGTCATTTTGCACTTGACCAAGGTGATACACACAAAAAACCAAATCTTAATAATAAGATTCATACACAGAAGAAACAGTTCCCAAATCTTACTAATAATTTCTAGCCTAGCCCTATCCTTTCAGTCAGTGTCATGCAGCCAAGATTTTAAGACCCAAGCAGAAAAATGAGTGCATAAAACTTGCAGTCTGAGGTTTTGATAATGACAAGACCAGAATCTGTTGGAAGACTGCAAAGTTAAGTCTCACAAAAACATCTAGACAAATTACTTAATTTCCATACAAGTTCTCCTCTTCCAGAGTGGATGGACACTTCAAAAGACAAAAAGATACAGCAAGAATTGTTTTCCTCTACTACAAATCAAGCTGTTTGAAGAATTTACATAAACAGGATGTAAATGCCAAACACAAAAGTGCAATAAAGTTTTACTTTAGCCTCGGTGAGCATAAAATTGCAAGATACACACTGAGAAACCAGGCAGGGCACCAGACTGACTTTCCTACAGATCTGTCAGTTAGTCCAGGAAATAAATGCTGCTTTTTTGTTCAAAGGCTGAAATGGAGATACGGGCTGGTAATAGATGATCTCAACAGAATCCTGGCATTTGTATGAATTATTTCTGTGCTCTCCTTGATTCAGTTTAGGGTCAAACCAGGTTTTGACAACCTGAGCAGCTTGCTCCAGTTGAGTATGTCCCCACTCACTGCAGGGGACTGGAGTAGATGAGCTTTAAATGTCCGTACCAACCCAATCCATACTGTGATAAAACATTCYGTATGTTCAACATGTGCTTCCAGCCTCTCAYAYATTGAGAGGACAGGGCATAGCTCARACCCCAAGAAGTCAAGGTAAGTGTTAGGAATGGTGGTGGGCTCTGGAGGGAAGCAGAAGGGACGATTCAAGGGAGAGAGGAAATTCAGCATCCCAAAGATGCCGCTGATTCTGATGCAGAGCAAAGGGATGGGCTTGGCAGGGCCTCTAGTGGCCRCCTCACATCAGTGTCCAAACCTCTCCACAGCAACTTTGAAACAGTCCCACCAATCCTCTGTCCCCCAATCCCAAATCCACAGGGCCTTTTTGACATTGGTTACAGGTACCCAGCCCCTGGGATGCAGCCCAGTGCTACTGTGGAGCCGCCTGCTCCCACTCCCATCCTCAGGAGCTGTAATTTCAGAGTTCCCTGTCACCACCACCSTGTTCCATCAGCTCCTCACACCATAAACACCCTGCAGCCAGGACAGCTCATTTCCTGGGAGTCCTGAATTCCCCCGGTGGTGGTGCAGCACCAGTTTGAGCTTTTAGTCAGCTGAGCATCGAGCACAGCGAGCAGAGGCGGCTTTGGAGAAACCAGGAATAGCATCTGGCAGACAGGAAAGAGCCAGCCCAGAATGAGAGTGTGCACTTGGAGTGAAAAAGCCTTCAGGAAAAAAGGGCTCAGCCAAGCAAAACCCACAGACACCAAAAACATGATAATCATAAGTCAATTCTTTGGAATAGTCTTGTCTAGAAAGCAAAGCCCATGGGAACACAAACCAGGCTTCCTTAGCAGAGCTCCTGAGAATGAACGGATGGAGCAACTCAACTCGTATGATTTCCTATTTTGTAACYACTTTTAAAATCCACCATTGTGCCAGCAGCTAAGCAGTTCCAGCAAACCAGGATCAATCAGCAAAGATAYTTTAATTTCCTGAATTTCAAGTATTTCCTTCCCTAATGTCTCCTGTGTGTTTATTAACTACATTATGAACTACCAAATGTACTACTTGGCATTAGTGAGTAAGGAAGGTGCTTCATTTTTCTCTTTTTGTACCCCAGTAAATACATTTCTATGGGTAATTTTTAACTAATTTTTTTTTTTACAATGGCAAGTGCAGCTTTGCAATGTCAAGCTTAAGGGATGCCTCCTTTTACACTCACTTTGTATAAGGGCAAGTTAAATTCACTTTGTGCTTTAATTTCATTAAACCATGCTGTAGAACCAATCTCTGAAGTCCAAGRTGATGTTTCTGGTAATTTCTATGTAAAATTCTCCATAAACATCATTCCTTGGCTAAAGCATATCCACAATGCACCATCCCATTGCATATGTTGCTCATATTTAAGTATTATACTCACTCCTTAACTGGAATGCTGAGGCTTGTGTATGGATTACTAAATTGCTTTCAGCAATCTTTCAAATATTCATTTCAGGCTAAAAAAAAAMMMRAAMCCMAAAMCMAAWWWWAAAMCMWKRAARRMCMAAAMC